CTATGACAAGCACTTGCAGCCAAGGAGAGGTGATTACACAAAAATCTCATCTCCCTCATCTTTGGCATGTCTGGAAGTTCTTCCATCACAAAAGCAACTGCTCATCCTCAGCACCAGAAGCAGAGGAGGAGTCCATGAGATCTGAGCAGAAAGCAGGGTCAGCTGAGGAGCAGCAGGGGCTGGGACATGGGGACATGGGGCTGCACAGTGAGTGCTGCTGGGTGACAGGGAATGGCACAGGCAGCTGCAGATGCTGCTGGATAAGTGTCTTGTGCTGCTCCACAGCCTGGAGGCAGGAGGGAGAAGGAACCTAACCCCCAGGACCTGCAGCACATGGCTGAAACACTTTATCTGCTTTTTGTGCATTTCTGTACTTTGTGTGCACAGATTTAGTTTGTCATCCTGCAGTCATCACACATGGGACAGATACAGGAAGAATTTACGCTCCCTTACTCCAGGCCTTTTGCTTTAACCACAAGAACATCCATCTATGGTGTGTAAGAATTAGCAGGACCATGAGAACTGCATGACACAATCTATAAGAGATATTTGTAACGATGTAGAATTCTTGAAAATAGATTAAGGGTAATTTTAAAAGGAATTATAATGTAATTTGGGTGGAGGCTCTACAGAAAGACAAATACAATTAGTTCTTATGTTTTCATGACTGCCTTCTTCCGCACTGCTGTCAGGAAGCCTGCATGAAAACACGCTATTTTATACCAATGACATCTGCATCTTGCTCTTTAGCAGATATGACAGTCTGTATGCAACATGGCAATCTGGGAACTCTGGAGGGAATTACATCAGTAGTTTGTGTCAAATTTCTATGTTCCATTTCTATTAGGGAGGATTAATATAGCAGCCAAATCAATATGACTGTATGGTAGCATAAAACCTATTTAAAAAGATAATTTACAAGCAAGATCTTATCTCTGGTTCAAGGAACAGATGCAGGAAAAAAGACTGAAAGTAGGAAGTTGAATACAGTTCAACAGATACCAGTATCAATGGCTGAATGCTGAATTACCCACTCTTTGTTAATTTAAACATTAAACAATTGGTGTGTGGTGGTAACTAAGAGCAGCACATTCCTCATCAGTTGGTATCTTTGCGATAAGGTGTCACTGTGAAAGATTTACTTTATTTCAAGAACTCACTGTTGGCTCAGTACTAAGTGCTGTCACAGCATGGAAGAGTGATTCTCACCAGTGCAGAAACCAGGAGGTCAGTAAAGCACTCAAGCAAGTTTTCGGTTCTTATTTGTGCCTCTATAGAGTAATTAAACTGAAAGAAACAGCAAATAGGAATCCTACTTCACAAATAGATCTCCTGTAAAATGCCTACTGTGATATCCAGGAACCCATTACTCTGCAGGTGACCAGTGAGGAGTTCCAACAACAGAGCAGTCAGTGAGTTCAATCCTTGCATATTCATGCACTAGTATTTCTTTCTAACTTGATGAGAAATGACAATACATTTTAGGTAGTCTTTTCCATTGGACATTTGCTGACCTTTATCTGACTAGAATGAAAGAAAAGCCCAAGGTCAACTCTAACCTTTCTATCCAAACATACCACAGGAATGCATACATGTAAAGCAAATCTGAATGTATAGCAAGTTAATCTTGGTCTTTTCTAGACTATGTACTGCAGTTCTACTTAAATCTGCTCAAAGGAGCAACAGCAATAGTCCCACTCCAATAGCCCTAGGAAACCTGCCTTCACAGAGTACATGAAATGCATTGCTCTTTCCCAGCCCACCTGCAACCTGCTGTTATGCCACATCCCTGCCCTCAGCCTCCTTTTCCAACATGAGGCCACCCATGGAATACACTGCAGAATAAATTCAGAGCACACACCTCACATCTCTGGTACAGACCTTCCCCTGGCTGTATGCTGAGGGGCTTGGGTCAGCTCTGCAGTGTCACACTGTGTACTTCATGTGTCCAGCACCCTTCTGCTGTAGACTGAGAACTACCACCAGGTTCACCATACACTCAGCTGGCTTCCCACCCTGTCTCACAACAGGTTTTACCTTATCTCTACAGAATATTACCTGCATTAGCCAAGTACTTCACTAATTTTACTGTTCCTAAGTACTATTAATAAATCTAATCATGAGGACTCTGATGAAGCTAATGTGGCTTGCCAATGACTTTCCACATCCCATCATGGGAGTACCTGAAATGCCAGCAAAACATCTCAGTTACAGCACAAGCCCAGGTCAGTCACTGACTCCCTGCAGCTGCAGCTGGCACAGATCCCTCCAGGCAGTGTTTTAAGGCCTCCTCCTCTTTTGGCAGACTTTTCTGAGGAAAAACAAGAGCCAAAGCACTGCTCATCTCTTCTGAGAAGTGGACCCTTTTGGAGGATAGCAGCACCTGATCCACCCCTCAGAATTAACCTAATAGTCTTTCAACAGAGCTTCTCAAACAGTCCTCTTTTGATGAGGTTGAGATTTAAATCAAGCATCTAAACAAGACGGCAAGGAGTAGGCAACAGAGCAGGGGACTCTTTTACCAGTGGGGAGGCTATGATCTGAATGTTACCGGTTCTCCTGGCAACCTTATTATTGATGAAAATGAAAAATGGCAGAAGTTGAAGAGTTCCCCAAATTCTTAGGGCTTAGGTAAAACGCATCGCACTGACTCAGCTGTTTGTTTCATCTAAATGCAAGTTAGGAGGCAATGCAATTAAAAGTACAGCTTAACTCATGGGAGCCAGTACCAGATACAAAAGCACTTTCATTTCCCTGGAGAAAGCCTCTAAACCATCCAGAAGGTATTAGCAACAGAACTTAGATGGCCAATGCCTGAATAATGAAATGACTGACCACTGGCCAAGCTACTAAAGGAAATGGGGGATTTTCCATTATTTGGTGTTTTCCTGTAGAAACTCGACGCCAAGCTGGAAGTCGTGTCTTAGCCAAACAGACTTTATGCCTTAGTTAAAAGTCAAACAGGCTCTACAGGGAGGTCAAACTGGATCCACTCACATCTTCTGCCCTTAAATCCCATGATGGTAAGCAGAGGAGCAGGTTCCTTCCCCCTTCCTCAGCCCTTAAGGAAAACAAGTCTTTTAATCTATTTAGAAGCCCTTTCTGACATTCTTAGCTGCAGTTTTTCTCAATCAGCCTAATCTTTCCCCATCAAGCTCCATGCTAATCCCATTTTGCACCACTCCTTAAACTAATAAAAGATTAGAGTGACATTTCAGAAAGGGCATTGTATTAAGCAGCTTCTCTCCCATCTCAACAGATCACACAATACAAAATATAGTGAACAGGCAATTAATCTTATGGTAATGAGGTGTCAGTCTGAATGGAGACCTCCTCCTTGATCAATATGAAGGGCGCAGGAACAATGAGGACACTGCTGCTCACCAGCTCTGGCAACTTTGCCAGAAGGCAGCAGATCCATGAAGTGTTGTGACGATGGCAACAGCTCTCGTCACCATAGGGCTCTGACCTTGACAATGGAGAGCAAGCATTCACACTGCTCTGCCACCCCCTGCGCTGCCCACACATAATGAGCTTTTCCCTATGTTCTATTTAGTGGCATAAAACTGTTTAACAACTTCAGCCTTGCTCTAACATGAAATCAATCAGGATTATAACCACACACAGAGAAATTTTTCACACCTATCCAGCTGGTGAAAATCACTGTCAAACTACTTTCTTCATTCCTCCAGTGGACAAGCCTTTGCTCTTCCTGGTGACATGTCCACATCGGTATTATCCCATTTTAGACAGAAAGAATTTTTTCATTTTCTTAAACAAGTCACCATTCCCCTTCAAGAAGACTATGGAAAGACAAGGGGTGATGGGTTCAAACTGAAACAGGGGAAGCTCAGGTTAGATCTAAGGCAGAAGCTCTTCCCTGTGAGGGTGCCGAGGCGCTGGCACAGGGTGCCCAGAGAAGCTGCGGCTGCCCCATTCCTGGCAGTGTTCAAGGCCAGCTTGGACACAGGGGCTTGGAGCAAGCTGCTCTAGTGGAAGGGGTCCCTGCCTGTGACAGGGGTTGGAACTGGGTGAGCTTTAAGGTCCTTTCCAACCCAAACTGTTCTGCAATTCTGTAAGTTTTACCAAGTGCTGAGAAAACATTCTAGAAGAAGCACCAGGCCATCCTGGCCAGTGATACCTGGAGACATCCTTTCACTTGCTCTAATTGGATGCTTTTCCTTCAAGAGCCAGTTGGGCTGGGAAATCAGCTTTTCTGCATACACAATGCCATGAAGCTGCACAGAACATGAAACTGGTCACAGCTACATATTTACACTGCACAAATTTGAGCCACAGGGCTTAAATCAGAGTGGAGTTAAACCTGGAGTTATACCAGGGAAAGGGCTGCTAAAGGAGCAGTGGAGAATGTGTAGCACCTCTCCCTTCCTAGCGAAATACCTCTGTGCATAGGTTTCACTTTTACATTTGCTATTCTTTCTTGTGACTAATGAATAAAACCTCTGGGTTTGACATCTCCAAAAGTCAAGTGTCTGAAGGTGAAACTGTCCCACGATTTACCTTTGTAACTTGCGCTTTTTTTCGCAGTTTGGTAGTTACTACTGAGAGGGGTAAGAGTTCTTCCAAAAATATTCACCCTGTAGAGGGATTCAGCCCTTCTTCTACTTAACGTAGTGTAATCCTGCACTTGTACAGTCACTGTTCTGTCTTGGTACGGTAAATAAATGCTAAATATCAACATCAAAGAAACTGATTATCTGGAGCTATTTCAAAGACAACATTCACCCAAAACTAAATCTTTACAGTAGGTGAGAAAGCACAACAATTTTCTGCAATCACAGCAGGACACGGTATCCCTGTATTGCCAGTAAATGTCAATTTTCACCATGCAGCCTCTAGCTAAATCTTTATTCTGATTTTCTTATCTAATAATGTACAATAAAAGAGAGACCTTGAGTTAAAATAAAAGGTTCTTCTAAGAATCCTACCTCTTCATCTTTGTTGGAAAGTCACTGTCTTGGTAAAGCTCAGCTATTTACCTGTATACTGTGGTAGGTGGAGAATTCAGTGTGTCGTAGATGAGCCTCACGTGTCCTTGGTACAACTCCAGAGCCAAAGGATCGTTGTCTCCTTTGTATAATAAGATGCCATTGTCCTTGTCCGTTGCTACCTGTGAAACATTAATAGCCAGGTAAGGTTGCTTAGTAAGGCAAGGTAAATATGATTAATAAACCATATATAAAAGCAAGAATGAGAGCAAGCTCCATGAGACACAGGAAGGTCTTGGTGACATTGAGTGCACTTGGACACAACCAGGTCGGCCTCCCACTATGGGATGGCTCCCTTGCTTCAAATGAGAACTAGCTGTCAGGAGATGAAAGCTGCAATTTATTTGATCCCTCTTAATAGACTGTTGCTGTATTTTTGGTGACAAAAAAGTTTATTTCCCAGCTACTACCCCAGCTTGAAGTGGAGGTTTAGAAAATCAACTCTGGCAGCAGGAGTGTGTCACAGTGACAAGGAAGCAGATTTCAGCAGGCACCGATCTGTTCACAGATATCTAATGTATCACGTATCACATGTATGTTCACAAAGAAGGGAAGAAGGACCTGACCCCATATCCACCATAGCCGTGAGTTATTCACTCAACCCAAGTTATTTGCAAGCCATGCCGATTTCAAATGGGATATTTAGAGAGTCAGGAAGAACACAGTAGCCTTTATCCCCCACACTTGAGCCCTTTTAAGTAAGATGTCCTCTATCTTTTCTTAATAATCAATGTTGTATTCTAATTTTAATTCACTTGTGATTAATGACTGGATGCAATACTAAGCTGGGGAAAAAAGAATTGAGAACATCATCTGCATGTGTAAAAATCACTTTTGTTCTTCAAGCTCTGGCTGATGTAAGATGTTTTGTACACTTAAGAAAACAATGCCCATATTTTCAGCTTTAAAGTTGACCTGTAGTATGTGGAGCCTTCAGGGAGCCATATTTTAGAGTGCTCATATTTATAGAATCTCTTTTGTGGTCTTACATAAAAGGGATTTAAAAGGAAGAAAACCTGGAGTTTCAATTATACATGAATCAGCTTCATTTTCATTTGAACAGTATACTCAAGCTATTAAAGATAAATATTAATTATGGATTTTTTTTTCCCTTAGAATAACCTTTGCAGGAACCACCCTTTAAAAATCTATTCCTAAGGAGGAAATTTGTTCCTCTTTCCCATGTCTTGATGTTGCTATTTTAATTACAACCAAACTCCACCAAATAAGTCTAGAATATGATTTCCAACTGTGGAATACAATCTTTTCAAACTGAGAAAATAAATGCAATGACATAAATATGCAGGTGTGATTTTTCTTCTCTTGTCTTTTGAAATGTTAGGCTTCATTTGCAGAGGGCATCTAACATAGATACAGATTAGCTATCAGTGGTCTAAGGGAGATTATCATGTCATACAGGTACTCTACAAGCCTCTTTAGGAGAAAACAGATAAAGCTAGAAATTATCCCCTCATGTACTTTGGGATTTAGGAGGGGAAGATTAGTTTAATGTTTACTAGACTGTGAGTACAAATAACTTCAAAATCACTTAAATATCTTATTTGAGTAAGTGTCCAAAACACCTTTGATCCACAGTCATAAAGAAGCCAGTGGTAGCATGGCACTTGGATAGCGATTTTCCATTGCCGTCTGAATCTTAGACCTCAAACCCAATTTAGGTGTAACTACAGGACTGTAACAAAATCCTCCACCTTTCATCTACTGAACGTGCACTGTGCGAGAGTAAGCAAAATATTGTCTGGAAAGGCCATTTAAAAAAAGAGAAAAGAGCAGCTCTTAGTAAAGGTCCTAGTATTAAGAACTAATTCCTACAGGATGAGCCTCAATGCTGTCAATCAGTAAGAAGCCAGGGAGGTTTCCCAAACCATCTCTATTAAATCGCCAGTCTGGGAGTATGGGAGTGGTGAGATTCTGGAGGCAGGTCCACAAAAGTACAGTGGTGCCTCACTGTTTCTTCAGCTTTCAATAACGTCAGAGCAGGCCACTGGCTGACAAGCTGATCTCTAACTTTGTCAGCATCTTGGCCAACGGATCCCATTCCTTCAGAACAAAAACACCCATAAGAGCACATGTACTGTTACTTAGGGGAGCACTGAGCTGGCGACTGCTGCTCACCTGGAGGGAGATGTTTGCCTGAGGGCGGATTTTGGCCGAGGGCAGCTCCACGTAGGAATCCTTCCCCACGAAGTTGACGGTGATGAGCTTCTCGCACTTCTGGCCTGCGAAGCCAGCGAGGCAGCGGCAGACGGGCTCGTGGTGCACGACGATGCACTGCGCCCCGTTCTGGCACTCATAGTTGTCACACGGGCTCGTCTGCAGCAGGACCATCGGCGGAGGAGTCTCACAGAAGAGTCCACTGCAGAAGGACAAAGTGGGCTCAGTCTCAGCTTGTTTTAAGGAAGGAGACATTTTCAGATGCTGACAGGATGCCACCACTGTGGGACAGCGACGTGAGAGTCAGCTGCCATGTGCCTGCTTTGCTGTGTGAAAGCCTTACAGCACAATGCTGTACAGAGACCTCTATGCTGGGTCTGAACAAGCCAGTTCAAACACTGAAAGCAGCTCATGCTGCACTACGCACTAGCTATTTAGCCCTGCAAGGGACAGCAGTCTGTCTACAATTGCTGCATTCCATACAAGTCCCCAGTAAAAACTGGGAGCAATTTAAGCCCAAACCTGCAATATCTCCATCCTAGGCTTTTTGATTTAAGTCTATCTCTGCTGTTGTAAGTGGCAAGCAGGAGGAAAATCCTCTACTGTTAGTACTTTCTACAGTCTCCTCGCTTGGTTTACTGTATATCAGAGTGTATCGACAAATGGACAACTGCTAACAGGCTTCAGAAGCAATGCACCAATATCACACTATTTGCTGGGCAGTGTCCCTGAACTGGTTTCTAACAGCAACAGAATCATTCACTTTATTTTAGCTGAGTTTGTGGTTGTCAGTGTCCTGGATCAGAACAATGCAAAGGAAAGGAAGCTCTCCCAGCATCAGTGGTAGCTGAGAAACAAATGCCAGGTCTGAATAATCTGGAGGAAGTGCTGTGGTTCAGCCGTAACGATGTGAGAGGCTGAGCAAACCCCCCCATCGGTGCCTGTGAGCCCTGGGGCTTGGGCCACATCACCCAGGAGCAGCATTCCTGGTCCCCAGGCTCCCGGCTCAGGGCGGCTGCACCCTCACCTGTGACGGGCTGTGCTGAAACATCCACCCCAGCGGGGCCGGAGCAGGGAAAAGGGACCATGTGCACAAAGCTGCAGTCATCGGTCACAGTGTGCCACATGTCAGGATAAAACCCTCTGCCCAGGTCACCCACTGGGCCTGTGGGACTGCAAAGGGACCCAGCCAGGCTCTCTGGCTGCTGCACACAGTGTGCTGTGCCTTTATACCCCAAACTTCTCATTACAGCCACTGTTCAAACCCAACAAACCCTTTCTGCACTGAGGAGAGAACATCAGTGCTTCGCATGGAGGAGTTCTGTGACTGCTTGAAAATGTGTGGCCACTACAAGGGTGAAAACTTGCTAGGTGGTGAGCAGGAAGCGAGTGCCAGGCTGTGCTGGGGGCACCTGTGTGGACAGCTGCAGTGAGGGCTGGGGCTCAGGCTTGAATCCTTGTTCAGCTCTGGGTCACTCACTACAAGAGAGACATTGAGGTGCTGGAGTGGGGCCAGAGAAGGGCAATGGAGCTGGTGCAGGTTCAGTGTGGAGAAGAGAAGGCTCAGGGGGGACCAGATGGCTGCCTACAACTGCCTGACAGGAGGATGGAGCCAGGAGGGGCTGGGCTCTGCTCCCAAGGAACAAGGGATGGGACAAGAGGAAACGGCCTCAAGCTGCACCAGGGCAGGTTTAGATGGAGCTGAGGAACAATTCCTGCCCCAGAGGGTGCTCAGGCATTGGAACAGGCTGCCCAGGGCAGGGCTGCAGTCACCGTCCCTGCAAGTGTTCACACAGCGTGGAGACGAGGCCTCAGCGCCATGGGTTAGTGGTGGCCTTGGCAGGGCTGGGGTAAGGGTTGGACTGGATGAACTTAAAGCCCTTTCCAAACCTGTTTGATTCTGTGACTGTGTTACACAGCGCTGACAACAGCACCACCGCTGAGAGACGTCCAGGAGAGGACTCTGGCAGAGCTGTGTTTGTGCAGTGAATAACCCCCAGCCCCACCCTGGAACAGTGAGATCTCACTGGGAATTTCCTGCCATTCAGGGAGCACTTTGTGGAATCACAGCACTCTCATAAAAACAAAGCAAAAGATGCCCCAGCCCTCACTCCTCTCCACTCAAGCAGGTGATACTTGGAAGCTCAGGGAATTTCTAGGCAACCTTCCTGGATACAATTAGAATAGAAACCCAAGCCATTCCCCTACAGTATCTATTACCGATTCAAGATGTGCAAGAACAGCAAGTAAAAAGCTGCAACATACTCGAGCAATCTTGCTCAGCCACAGAGACCAGGACGTGCTGCCTGTGAAACAGAAGGAAATGGAGATGACTGCTTTCCTTTTCCCATTTTCCCATGTGGAATTTTGCACAGAGCACCATGGCTCTATCTTCAGCACTCTGTGGAATGAGAGCCGAAACCTCTCCCTGTCCCTGTTCTCCCAGCACACACTCTCTGGTCAGCCTCTGGGAAACACAAAAGAGAGAGGAATACGCAACAAATAGGGATAGGCTAAATCCTGAACTGCATCAAAAGCAACGGAGCTGCCCTGCTCTGAGAGAAGAGACCTGGAGCTTTACATTACTACTTGAAGAATACCTTGAAAGATGCAAATATTTGGGATTGGCACCTGGGAGAAGGTGAGGAAAGCTCTCTTTTCCCCAGGACTGCAGCAAAGGGGCTGGCACAGCATGGAATACCCCAACCAGCTTCCTAACTGCCCTAATCTGTATGTGGGCCTTGGGGCTGTCCTGCTCCAGCCCTGGCATCACTGGGGGTCACATACACAGACACACGGATGTTTCCTTCTCAGCCAGAACCACCTCTTGGTACTTCTCAGGAAGCGCATTTCAGCACTTTTCTTACTGCATTGCCCTAAACTTCCTTTATTCACCACATGGATGGAATGAAGCTTCCCAGCCAGGCTCCCCATGGCCATCCCATTGCTACCTCGCTGCTCTCAGGGTAGGGAGATGTGGTTGACAGAGACCCCTGATCTTCCTTCTCTGCCAAGTGCCACTGGGGGCTGTCAGTGGGCACAGTCATGGGCTGCTAATAGCATTAGCTAACAGTTCAGGGAGGGGGTAAACATCCTCTACCAGAAGAGCACAATCTTGCACAGGGACAAGCTAATCTAGTCATTGAGACAAGTGTGCCTCCACAGCGTGATCTGGCAGGCAATGCTGCTGGCAGCCAACAAACCCCATTTACTCTGCTCCAAGGAGTATGTAGACGAGATGCGCAGGGTTGAGTGCAGTGGGCAGCAGTGGGAATGGGAGCATGGCAGGCAGGGGAGTAACTGCACATGGGTGCATTGGGCTTGTGCAGCAAGGTCTTGTTGGGGGGGGCTACAGGGGTGGCTTCCATGAAGCTTCTGCTAGAAGCTCCCCCATGTCTGACACAGCCAATGCCACCAGCACCAAGCTGGACCTGCTGCTGGCTAAGGCTGAGCCACCAGTGCCAGTGGTAGTGCCTCTGGGATAACAAGTTTAAGGGGGAAGGAGCAATTGCAGCCAGAGAGGAGTGAGGAGGACATGTGAGAGGAACAGCCCTGCAGACACACAGGTCAGTGCAGTAGAAGGCAGGAGGTGCTCCAGGTGCTGGAACAGAGGTTCCCCTGGAGCCCATGGTGCAGACCATGCTGAGGCAGCTGTGCCCTGCAGCCCATAGAGGTCCATGTGGGGCAGATGCCCACCTGCAGCCCATGGAGGTCCATGTGGGGCAGATGCCCACCTGCAGCATGGAGGTCCATGTGGAGCAAATGCCCACCTGCAGCATGGAGGTCCATGTGGAGCAGATGCCCACCTGCAGCCCATGGAGGTCCATGTGGAGCAAATGCCCACCTGCAGCATGGAGGTCCATGTGGAGCAGATGCCCACCTGCAGCCCATGGAGGTCCATGTGGAGCAAATGCCCACCTGCAGCATGGAGGTCCATGTGGAGCAAATGCCCACCTGCAGCCCATGGAGGTCCATGTGGAGCAGATGCCCACCTGCAGCCCATGGAGGTCCATGTGGAGCAGATGCCCACCTGCAGCCCATGGAGGTCCATTTGGAGCAGATGTCCACCTGCAGCCCATGGAGGACCCCACCTGGAGCAGGGGGATACCCAAAGAAGGCTGTGACCCTGGGGGCAGCCCATGCTGGAGCAGGCTCCTGGCAGGACCTGTGGTCCTGTGAAGAGAGGTGCCTGAGCTGGAGCATGTTTGCTGCAGGAACTGTGACCCCACAGGGGGATCACACTGGAGCAGCCTATGAAGAAATGCAGCCCATGGGAAAGACTCAGCATGGAAAAGTCCATGCAGGACCGTCTCCTGTGGGAGGGCCCCCACATTGGAGCAGGGAAAGAGTGTGGAATGTCCTCCCCTGAGGAGGAAGGAGCGGCAGAGAGAACGTGTGACCAAAACCTCCATTCCCCATCCTCTGTGCTGCTGGGGGGCAGGAGGTGGAGAAACTGGGAGTGAAGTTGAGCCGGAGAAGAAGGGGGGGTGTTTTAAGGTTTAATTGTTATTTCTCATTATCCTACCCTGATTTGGTTGGTGATAAATGAAAGCTGGGTCTGTTTTGCCTGTGCTGGTAACTGGTGAGGGATCTCTCTCTGTCCTTAGTGTGACCCACGAGCCTTTCATCCTATTGTCTTTCCTCTGCCTAGCTGAGGAGGAGAGTGATGGAGTAGCTTTGGTGGGCACGTGGTGTCCCTCCAGGGTCAGACCACCACAGTGGGAAATGGTTGTTTTTGTTCTTGGGAACATTTCTTTGTGAGCACACCTAAACTATGAACTAGTCATAGACTAAGAGACTTCCCCTTCCTGAGCCAGCCCCTTTGCTGCAGCTTCTTGGCAATCCCTTCACCCCCCCCCCCAGGCCACTCTGTTCCTGGAGGGTTAGCACAGCACCTTGGTGCACATAGCACCACTCAGCAACAGATCCTTTGGATTCCCTTTGCCAAGAAAACAAGGGAATATTGAGAAAATAGCAACAGCCTCATGGGAAGATTGATGCACAGAAAGCAATTCTTGCCAATTTAAGGTAGTTACTGTAGTAGCTGCCTCTTGGCACAGCAGTCAGGCCCAATGAACTGAGGTGAGGACACATCAGAGCCACGTCCCTACCGGCAGGCAGGCACTGAAGTGCACTGTCCATCTGGAACACTTCCCTGTTCAAAGCCTGCTTCCATTAAGTGTGTGATCTCTCTCCAGCGCACGCTTTTTGGCTGGCAAACATGTCAGGAGCACCAGCAGTGGGATCAAATGAGGTCTGACCTCTCAGCCCTGGCTGCTGTCAGGTGTGACCAGCAGAAAGGAGCAGAGCTGACCCAGCCCACGAGCTTTGTTGTACCTAATGCCAATCCCTTTGTTTTGTCTGTGAGCAACAAGTAGAATGCAGGAGGAAAGTCACTGTGTGTAATTCTAATTTTATGGAAGTTAAAAATAAGAATAATAAAAAACCCATGCAACCCGCAACAGCCTCCACTAACAGAAAGCAAATGTTGCACGAAGCCAGTGTGTCTGTGCTTGGAGCTGCTCTGAATGACTCCCTGAGCTCCCAGTATGCTCCTGCACAACCCTTCCTTGCTGTGGGATCCTCCAGTGGGTGGCTTTACAAGTGCAGCTGTCCTGCTGCTGGCATCTAGGAGCTACATTAGCAACAGCATTTGCCAAGGCCTTTTCTTCTTTCATTTTAAAATATTTTGAAAGTATATTTTTAGACATCATTAATACTATTTATTCCCCCAGCAGTGGAATGTGCAGCACAGCCCGCCTTGCAGCGAGCTTGGCCAAGCTCATTCTGCCTGGTACAATCTCATTTATTTCAGTAATCACTGCAGAGTTTCCTGCAGCAAACTATCCCCGTGGAGAACCCTGAAGCATGTACCCAATGGAGGAACAATGCTTTCCAACAGGCTCAGGAGCCCTAATGTGTGCTTCCTACCAAAGCAACATCAACCAGGACAACATTGCTGTGAGCCTGGTTGCTAGAGGGAAGGTTTGATAAGCCAGGTCTCATCCTATGGGGTTTACTTTTCAGGAAGAAAGAGTGTTGCTGAGTGGTAAGGAAAGGTGCTGTGTGGAGCACACTACACAAGAACAGGAGACGCTAAGATGGGAAAACAGGCGTGTGCGTGTTGGTACTATTGCTTTTTGGGGCTGTCACCAGACGTGTCATTGTGCACATGAGGCCCAACATGGTTGAGAAATACCAGCATGCCATTTGTTCAACTGTGCGAGGATGCAAGTTTTAACATCCTTCTAATGTGTGACTTCAAGTGGCTTTGACATACAGCACAGTGACAACCACAACACTGCTTTAGCTCTATGCATATATTACAACAGCAGAAGTACAGATAGCTGGGAGCTCACTGCAAACTCATTGCTGGGAAATGACTCCTGATGCTTAGCCAAGAAACTTTATAAATCCTCATCTCAGGTCTCCCTGTTACCTTTGTCAGACCACCCCTTGTGTTCACTCCCTCTCATCAACACTTGCAGCCTTCAAATACTTGCTAAGTTATCGCCTCGCCACACAGCCCAGCGCCTGAGGCTCGCTTCCTGAACTCTTGAGTCTATAACCCTGAACATCAGAAGGCTGAACTCTGCCAATCACCATCTTTGCAACTGCAATCTTAAGAGGGGAAAAAAAATAATCAGAACCCCCTTCAGAGCATCAGGCTTTAAACTACAAAAGGCTGGAGTCATGGAAAGAATAATGAACAGAACGTATTTTGTTAGCAGAATTTTAATCCTGAAATCAAACAAGATCAAGGACTATTCTGCATGGAGAACACAGGGGCCTTCAGCTTGCTCTCTGCCTTGGCAGGGGAAGTCTGATAGTGCTCACTGTGATGTTTTTCTTCTAAACCACTCTTTCTCTCTTGCAACTTGCACAGGAAACTCAAGGAGGTAACATGGACTAATGCAAACTAAGAAAGCAAGCAGGAGACCTCAAGTTAATCCTGGCTCTGTTGTTGACAGGCAGCAGGATTAGTTTGCTTGACCAAGCCTACCTTGTGCTATGAAGTGCTGTCTAGGCTAGTGGTTGATTTTGGAGCATTGTGTGGGAAGATGTTTTCTCTTAGAGGGCTTTAGTGGAACGAAGGCCCCTCACCTGAGTGAGGGAGCAGGCTGGGTCCTTGGTGTGAGATCAGCCAACCCAGGGCACTAATTGCCAGCAGAGCTGCTTCTTACACAGGAAGGGAGGCAGATCAGATTCCCACCTCCCCCTGCTGCTCTGCTCAACTGTGTCACACTCAGAATGTCTCTGACAAACACTGCCCATCACACTCATCACTGCCTGGTACTGACAGGCATCAGGAATCAGGGGACTCGCAGCAGAAGTCTCCTAGTCACTACCATATGTGGACTCCGGATACAGCTTTGCAATCCAGTTTTTCAACTCTAACAATTAGATAACAATGAGCATTTACAATTCCACTGTGGGATAGCCACTTGTAATCCTTCCCAGTCACCAATCTGCAAGACCCCTGAGGCCACTAAAGGGACTGAAGCAGAGAATGAAACATGGAGAAAAGGGCATGAATTTGCAACACAGAGGTATCTGATAGCCTGTAAATAACAAGTCTGATTCTGTGAAACCACGGGCTGACATCATGTTGTACATCAATGCCTATTCAGGGAAGGCTGTCTGCTTTGCAATAAAAATGTGTGTTGAGAGAGAAAAAAACCCAAAACCAGCAAGGATGAAAGCAGGAGGAATGAAAACAGTTGTAGATACGAAGCAGAGAAAATGATTCATAAGCGTTCCTGCGATTTCTTCTTTGTTGAGACTGATCTTTTCAGGTACTCCTTCTTTGTCTCACGTGTGTATTTCAAACACAGAAAAGGTTTAGCTGGAAGGAAGCCAGTATCCAGCCTCAGGCAATGATTAGTGAATCCATTTGGAGCAGCACACTTATCTTTGACAGACAGAGATTTCCAGGAGTCAGATATATTGGCAGCTGCCAGAATCAGAGGCAATTTACTGCCAAAATCGTGCTGAGCCCATCCACCACCAGGTACAGAGATAGTGGCACAGAATCTCCAGCCTTCTGTTTTCTTGCAGCCAGGTTCACATATCTCATTTTATTATCCTTTGCTCACTCTCATGCATGCACAGTTTATCTCCATATCATTTCTGTGAGGGTACTACCTAGTGTTTTACCAGGACTGCTGGGGCAGGCAGGCACACTAACACAGCACTGCACGAAAGGCAAATTTCTCTTTGCAAAGCAAGAATCATCAACCCCCTGCACTCCACGAACTACCTGAGACCTACTTCAAGATCTGAAGCACTGAGCCATCCGTTCATGTAGGACTGATGCTACATATACAGGCTGATCAGCACTGGAGATGAAAACAGTTTACGTGCCCTATCAGTACACAGGACAGTCTGGGAGGAGCTGACTCACGTACCTGAAGCCCTGAGGACAGATGCAGGTGTAGCCATTGACTGCATCTACGCAGACAGCTCCATGGTGACACTTATGGCCCACACAGTCATCATCATCTATTTCGCAGTGTTTTCCGCTGTAGCCCGGCAAGCACTCGCATCTGCAAGACCAGAGCATGGCTGTTAATAGCTTGTTTCACCATCCACATCATCAGCACACGCAGGTCCAGCACCGGTCTGATCCGAAACACAAAGGTGTTAGCAATTATTCCTGGAAACATCAAGCACAATTCCTGCCATCAGCAATGCTCGAATCACTCCTGCATGTCTGCAGCTGAGGTTCTGCAATCTGCTTAAATCCAAGCCCAGCAAAGCAATATCATCCTACTGCTTATCTTCAGCCAACTCTGCTGAGAAGGGTGATCATACAGTGCTCCCCTATTATGCTAAAGATGACAATATCTTCCCTAACCTTACAGCCTCACTATTCTGCCCGGGCAATTGCCCTGATGTCTCAGACTGTGATTCCGCCAGTGTTTGCACAGTGCCGAGTGTCTGAGGTTGACCCTGTGCAGCTACACAGAGCACAGTAAGGTTTCACCTTCCAAGTAGAAACAATTTGCAAGCAAGCCATCAACCTCAGCAGATTTTAGGAAAAACCATCAGTTTTGAGATCACCACTGGTCTGCCATTCATTTGCAAGGCACAGAATCATAGAATCAACTGGGTTTTCAAAAGACTTTTAGGGTCATCAAGTCCCACCTTTAAATAAACAGCAAATGTTGCTGCAACTATGGCAAGTTGTCTCTGAAGCCTGTCCTTTACCTGCTGCTATGGGGTAATGCCATTCACAGGAATCACACAATGGGATGTTCCCAAACCTGCAGACATTGGCTTTGTATTTTATTTTATCCAATTCTCCAGTTTGTTGTACGAAGGCTGCATCAACATTTCTATTATAAGCCTTGCAGAAGTTTATACCCTGACAATAGAAAATACATCCCCAAGTCTGACTTGGAACAGATCTTGCGGGATTGCTGAACAGCCTCTTTCTGAATGTATAGTGAAGACAACATTTAGTCATGAACACACTTTAGTCCACGAAACACGTTTTACTCCTTCCAGCTGGATGTTACTGCACATCTGGAAAACAAAAGGCACATCGCTTCGACCTAAACAAGGGAAGGGCTACAGTTAACTCCAGCAATAAAAAAGAGGCCTGCGCTCTTGCTGGAGCCCCTTGTTTAGACCCAGCAAGCTTGCCACTGAGAGCTGGAAAGGAAACAACATTATAAAGCTGAGGGAGGTGGCATCAGGAGAGAAACTACTGCTCCACCAACCCATTCTGCTGGCCTCCTCCTCCTCCTTGCCAGAAGCCTGGTTGGGTAAGTGCAGGAGGAGGTTCCTTAGGGACCTTTCCTTATGGAAATGCTTTTCAGAGGAACAGGACACATGGGAGGTGATGAGGAACAATGTCTGTACATTGCAGACAGCAGTCACTGCGCTGATTTGGTTCTGACTGACAGTGTGCTTTGGGTCCTGGCAGCTCCCCAGCTCATCGGGGCAAGGCAGCAGGTCCTCGGTGTGCTAATGACCAGTGCAGGGCTGCCACAGCAGCAGGCCTTCAGCAACCCCTAAGTTCAAGTGATGGGAGGAATGTGACCTTCAGCCTCCATATCAAAACATGGCTTGTGGCTGGCTAAAGAAGGAGGAAACAGGGCAAAGCCTGCAAACCTGCAGGCTGTAGGATGGATAATGTTATGTAGATGCACATACTTTCTTTTTCCATTCTCCCCAGAGGAGAGGCCCCCATCGTGACCCTCCGCAGCCATGGGGTGCTGGATGGTCCAGCCCTGCATGTCTGAGTTGCTCTTTTACCCCTTGGTGGCTCAGGGAATACTGTGATTAACATAACGGAGATGACAAAAGAGAGCAAAAAAAGCAAAACGTGTTCTTCCCCCAAGCCATAAGACACTAGTGATATTTTTTGGCAATGTTTTAGTCACACCTGCAAGCAAATAATGTCAATCAAAAGACTTTGAGGGGGGAATTGGCAGCATTAATCCTGTTGCTTTTTATTGATCCCTGCAGTCCTAATATAAAGTGATGTAATAACGAACGATGTGCAGTTCCTTATTCAGAGCTGCCATGCATCAATTTTATGATGTGTATTGGCTATCTCAGTAATGACAGAACCACCACTTTTCTCTGCAGGGCTGCATTAAATCAGCATTTTAAGCTGTCAGGTAATAATTCCAAGCTTTAGAATAATAAAGTATATTTATACCATGCTCCAACATCACTCCAGTGAATGGAAAAACATGCTCCTTTCCTGAAGGTTTTTTTTTTTGAAGTAATTTCATTGTGTTAAATGCTATTTTTTGTTCATTTTTGCTTTGTTTTCTTGTCTGGCATACAGAAAGCTGCTCTTCTTCTCTAGTAACAGCACAATAAAGATGTGGAGGCTGAAAGTGAGGAAAGCCACCTGCAATTTTAGCTTCAAAAGCAAAGTGTTCTGCGCAAACACACACTGAAATAGTCCAGTTTGCTTCCAAGCTTGGCTTTCTCTTTAGAAACATGGAATTCCTATTGGGCCAGTCATTTTGGAGCATTTAGTGTGTCACATCTATGTGTATGCCTGGAGGAAAGCAGATGAGAAGCACAGCCCCAGGAGTGCATCACACAGCCTCTTCCTCCTGAAAACCCATGGACCTCCCCATTATGGCCTGGGAAGGTATGTTAGCTCCATCCCTATCCCACACAGTGCAGCAAGTGATGAAGTGAAGATCAGTAAAGTACGATGCAGTACAGAGGTGACAAAGACACTTTCATAGTCAAATCCTGGTAAGACAGCAATTGACACCATTAGATCAGTTATTTCATTTCCTTCCAGTGACAACCTGACAGCAGTACACTGAAGATGTTGTTTTCTGCTACAGCCTAGTAGTGATGGCAACATTCCCAGGGAGTGCCTGAAACCATGTCTAGTGGTATTTAAAACGCTGGCCTACCTGAGGGGGTTTCCATCTGCATGCATTCAACGTCTGTTGCATTAAAGCTGTGAATCATGGCTTCTATTGCAGGGCCAGAATGGAATTTCCCTCCCCATATCAATAAATAACTTGGCTTCCTATTTTTTCCTGTCTTTGTCATCTTTTCCTCCCTCCACAAAGTTGCAGAGCAACTAGAGCTGAAGGCACGACAGGCAGACTGGCTGGTGTCCTTGCTGCTATGCTGGTCTTCACTGGTGTGTCCTATTTACCTGCCCAGGGCACAAACCTGACAGGGGGATGGTCAGCTCAAGAACAAGCCTGAACCCTGCTATTAATATTCCCTGTCCCTGGAAGCAGAGGGGAGGACTGATTCATGAGCCTGACTCACTCTGCATGTCGCACTGCACCACACCATTACGTGCTGGATGTGTGGTATACCACAGGTCAGGAGATCAAACTGCTCTAGCCATCAGCAGCAACACAGGACTAGAGGCGGCTGTTTTCAGTGAGACCCAGCAGGCACCACACATCACTGCAGAAGCTGCTGCAGGATCGCAGCCCATTTCTGAATGGTTTGAGGCAAATAAAGTATGAAAGAAAAAGCAACACTTGGACAAATCCATGTTCAAGGTTGGCAGGCTCCCTCACCTCTAAGTCTGGCATGCAGGAAAGCAAAATGGCACAGAAGGAATGAAATTCCAGATTTTTGGGTAGCATTCTATGAATAGTGGGAAAAATAATGCAAGAAACAGTAGCAGAAAATACTCACAAGTTGTTATTTAAACTCCCCTCAGGGTTTAATGGCACCACTATGAACACTTTTCTAGCAAGCAAGCAAAAAATAATGATGTCTTATTTATTCAGATTGTTTGGGTGACAGGTATGTAAATGTTTCCAGAAAGGGTAAAACCATTCAGGACCACAGATGTCTCCATCCCTTCATACATCCAGCAACACAAGGTAATGTGAGTTACAAGCCTTTGCCTGGTAACATGATGTAGCTACTGGATTAGCTGAATGATGGATTAACTAGGAATGAAAGCTGGAAAGAACATCAGGGACTATTTATGGCCTGGTAACACACCTTCTTATCCAGCCCCTGTGCATCTTTTCAGAAACTATCCCAATGATTCAATAGTTCCGTCTTCCTCAAGAGCTGGAAATGTTTCTGTCTGGAGTGTTTTCCCCCCAAAGAAAGGCCCAAGTCGTGCAGATGAGTGTCCAGCACAGACCCAGCTGCCCTCCTGAGAGCCAGCAGCTCTGAAGTTTTGCTTCACTTCCTTTTAACTTTACGAAATGTTCTTTGGGCTGCATCAAAAGGAGAGTGACCAGCAGGTCGAAGGAGGTGATCCTGCCCCTTTGCTCTGCTCTCATGAGACCCCATGCGCAGCATTGTGTACAGCTCTGGTGTCCTCAGCATAAGAAGGGTATGGAGCTTTTGGAGCAAGTCCAGAGGAGGCCACGAGGATGATCAGGGACTGGAGCACCTCCCGTATGAAGACAGGCTGAGAAAGTTGGGGCTGTTCAGCCTGGAGAAGAGAAGGCTGCGTGGAGACCTCAGAGCAGCTTCCAGTATCTGAAGGGGGCCTATAGGGATGCTAGAGAGGGACTCTTCATTAGGGACTGTACTTGATAGGACAAGGGGTAATGGGTTCAAACTGAAACATGGGAAGTTCAGGTTGGAGATAAGGAAGAAGTTCTTCCCTGTGAGGGTGCTGAGGCGCTGGCACAGGGTGCCCAGAGAAGCTGTGGCTGCCTCATCCCTGGCAGTGTTCAAGGCCAGGTTGGGCACAGGGGCTCTAGTGGAAGGTGTCCCTGCCCGTGGCAGGGGTTGGAACTGGGGGAGCTTTAAGGTCTCTTCAAACCAAACCAGTTTCAGATTCTGTGTGTCACTTTATTCTGAAGTGCCACTGGCGTCACCGGACACCCTCTGACCCCAACTGCACGTTACGAGGAAGACCAAAGAGCAGTACCATCTCTCCCCTGGGACAGCCAGCGTGCTGGGTGAGATGTCCCTTGCCAAATCCACAGCCCTGTCTTCCAGGAGGAATCCATGAGCACCATGAGTGCACTGGAGTCATGAAAATAAGCACAGAATGTAGCTCACACTGCACTGAACTCTCTTGAATTGTCTTCCTTTCTTACTTCTTTGATTCAAAGGTCTTTTCCTGACAAGCTTTCCACAAAGTTTGACTTTTCAATTGGCTATTTGCTAAATTGTTCTGCAATTCTGTCACCACACAAGTGATGAACACTGCTATATGCACCTCTCAAAACACCCCAACCCCCATATCTGCAGGTGCTTTACTACCATTTAAACCATGGGGATTTATTTTGCCCCTGTGAAATGCAAATGCAAATGCAGACTTCACAAAATTAAGCATGACCTGGGCGAGGCTCCTCTCTATGGCCAAGGAAGAATGTGGTTCCTGGGGAAGAGTGTTCAGTTCAGCTGCTTGCTGCTGCTGTCCAGGACAGGAAGTGTGGGGAAAGGAGCCCCACTGAGGCCAAGGCTGGCCTGTGCCAGTGCACCCCAACACCTCCACCCATCCTGAAGGCAACAGCTGAAGAGGGGACACAAGAGAAGAGTCCTGACCTGCAGCTTTCTGCTCTGGCCACAAGTTTCTCTTTCACTTCTCAGTGGTTAGAATGGGGATTGGAATTTCACACTGAGCCAGTATGGGCTGAGGAGAGCTGGTTTACATCAGTTAAGGCTCCTGTTACACTGCCTGAACTGATGGACACCCAAAGGAACAGAAGGAAACTGTCTTTAATTTCTGATGCAGGACAAGATACTTTGCAGTAACTGTTGCAGAAGTCCTCCTTTTTCCATGCTCTCTTCCAGAGGACTTTCTCTGTGCTGGTGGTACTTCCATTATTTTCAAGTAAGCCACAGAAAACTATAAAAGTCTGTATGGTTGCATTGGAATTAAAATGTGTCACAGTCTGAAGTATAAACAGTCTTGCACTGTTTGCATCAATCTGGATGATTTTTATCTCAAACTCACTGCCAGTTCAGCCATAGTCAGGCCAGGGGATGGATGTGCCCAATGTATGGAGACACACGCTTACCTGGTTCCTTTGTCAAGGGGAAGGCATTTTGACTCATGTTGGCATGGATTCAGATCAGGAACACAGTGGTTAATCACCTCATCACACAGCTCACCTGAGGAAGGAAAAAGCAACACTGCTGTAACACAGCTTGAACAATCCTGAAGCAGCTCCAGACATGATGGCAAAGGGATGGCAAAGCTCCCTAAATGTAAGCAGCTCAGTAGTTCAGCAGTAAGCAATGCTATTGTTTATGAAGGCACATGAGACTTCATTAAATTGAGCTCCTTTGACCTATAGCTGTTTCTATCGCATGAATTTGAAAGGCTGGTACAAAACGTACTGACATACAAATTCCGCTTGGTGACAGAGGAAGGATCAAACGGACAGTTCCTGACCCAGAACCTCTTCTATCAAACCAAGAAAGTGACACAGCAGTGAAGTTGCTTGTTAGATGTCGCGGTCTAAGCCCAGCCGGTAACTCAGAACCACGCAGCCGCTCACTCACTCCCCCACTTCTTCCTCCCCCTGATCCCAGAAGGATGGGGAGGAGAATCCAAAAAATTTAAACCCCACGGGTTGTGGTAAGAGCAGTTTGGTAACTAAGGTACAACACAAACCCACTACTGCTACCACCAATAATAATAATGACAAGGGACATAGCAAGGGAAGAGAATACAACCGCTCCCCACCCGCTGACTGATACCCAGCCAGTACCGGTCTGGGGCTGTTGGTAACTGCCCCCAGTTTATATACTGGCCATGACATGCTGTGGTATGGAATACCTCTTCGGTCAGTTTGGGTCAGGTGTCCTGTCTCTGCTTCCTCCTGACTTCCTGGGCACCTCCTCCCTGCCAGAGCATGAGACTCAAAAAGTCCTTGGCCAGAGTAAACATTGCTGAGCAGCAATTAAACCATTGGTGCGTTATCAGGGTTGTTCTCAGGCTAAATCCAAAAAGCACAGCACTGCACCAGCTACTAAGAAGGAGAAAAATGACTGCTACTGCTGAACCCAGCACATTAGACCATAACATTTTCACACTGAAACATGTTTTAGCCATAGTTACTGCTCTGCCAAAGAAGCTGGTTGGACATCATTCTGGAAAAGAACAACAACCCACAAGCCTTCCCCCAAAACCTCTGCGACTCTCAATAATAGGAACCAGCTTTAGGACTGCATGCAATTAGGGAACATTCAGTATTTGTAAGACAAGTACTAGCCCTATTGTGCTCACAGGGGATGATGTCTGTTCAGACAAGAATCCATCACATGTGAGCTCAGCTCAGCTGTTTCAAGGTATGGTGTGTTACATGCTATGCACCCCCCCGGATTTGTATACATTTAATAATTAATAGTTCTAGAAGGTTCAAACCCAGATAGTTTATTTAAATACCATCCTAAATTATTAGGTCACACTTCAGTACCCCAGGATTTGAGATGCAGCCAAAGACCACAGGAATCTTTGCCTTCCCAAGAAACCTTCCCCGTACCTGCCAAAGCCTTGCAGGCAAAGCAAAAGCCAGGTGCTCTCAACACGGAAACCCCTACAAGCTACAGTCCAAAGTCCCTTGTGCAGCTATCACAAAACCACATCTGCAGGGTTTCAGGGTTAGGTGTATTTTGTGCCTGTACATGACACATACCGTCACATGAGCAACACATCATGCAGCTAGTGTGGGGAAAAGGGTAATGTGGGAGGTGCTGGAGGGCTGGCAGGGTTTAAACAGGGTTTTCATGAAGCTGCAGCTCCACCTGCCTTGGGAGAAACTCCATTTTCAAAAGTCCTTGTCTTTCTGAATGTACTGGCTACACAGAAACACCTGAATACACAAGTCCAGCAAACCCCAAAGATTGCAATTCAGATGGAAATTGCAAATCAGAACCATTCATCTTCTAGCAGTGATCTGGCAGGGATGATGGAGAGCACAGTTTCGAGGCTGGCTCTGGTGGTGACAGGTATGGTTTAAGTTTTTAACACCCCCAGCTCACTCCTTCTGGTTATTTCCCCCACATCTCTGGCCTCCCTTCAGTATGAGCCACACATCTCTTTATTAGGCTCTTAATATTAGAATGGAAGTATAATGTGTATTTGCAGAAATTACTCTATTTTTTAGTTGCTGTCTCTAACGTATCTGGTTTGGAGAGTTGTGAAGCATTAGTGAGAAAGTGCAGCAAGAATACAAGTCCTGGAAGCGTGAGAGAGGGTACTACCAGCATAAACTCTGTATTCATGTGCCGGGCATACCCTCATGACTTTTTCCTGGCTGAGTTTGGCAATACCAGAAAGGTCTGGCATGGCAATCTGCAGTGGACAGTTTATTGTTCATAGTATCAGTTATATTCCGTCTGGAGCAAAGGAATCCCTGGAAGCCACCACTATTAAATACTACCAAGTATTTTTACAGCCCTGAAGTCTTGGGCAAATGTAATGAATGTATCCAGCTCAGGAGGGGACATGCCAACATGCCAAGGAAACTGAATGCTGCAGATCTATGGGAACCAAGGCAACCTCATTCACTGGACTTGATGTTTGCCACTGTTCTTTGCTACTCCACAAAAGCAACTAAAGATGTTCAAGTCTTACAAACACGAACACAGCTGTCACTGGGGACAGCTATTAGCACACTTTTGAGGTGGCAGAACTGGAGACAGGTCTATTTAGCAAGCAATCCCCAAACCCACCGTCCACCAACCCTCCTGAATGCTAACAAAGTGACTTCCTCGGCCTTTGGGCATGAACATGAGCAGGTCAGTACTTGCTGGACGACTGCCAGTTCATCATCCTGGTATTCCTCATGTCCCCTGTGTGCTATGAACCCCACGTGAAAATAAACACACAAAAAAGCAACCGATTGGTGACATTAAAAGGACTCAGTGATCTAAAGCTGGAAATATTTTTGGAAGACCATTTAATGAGTGTGGACAGATGCCTTAAAACATCACTAAAAATGGTCAATGCATACTTTTGAAGTTTCCTTTGCTTTTTTACTTTGGTTGTTTCAAAAAAAAGGGAACAGGCTTTAGAAAAAAGAAAAAAAGAACAGTTTCATAAACTCTCAAAGGAAACCATAATTCTTCTTAAAGTATTCCCCTCAAAAGCCTTGACAAGTGCTTAGAGATCCAGTAAAAGTCTCCCCAAATGTCAAATATTATGACTCACTGTGTCATTCTGAAGGCACCACTATCAAAATGTAGGAGAATTCTAGGCTAGGTACCAAACACAGCATCCAAAAAATTTATCATTTTTCATGCAAAACTTGGAACATGTAAGGATCCTTCCTGTTATTTTTCCCATCTATCACTCATTAGGGAGCTCACTTGGGAATGCCTTGCAACTAGAGCAGCCTCATCTCAGGAAGAAAATTCTTCTTGATAGATGATTTCAGGCTCCCCCAACATTCGCTACATGCTGCAGAAAGCATGCCAGGGTAATAAAACACTTTCTGCAAACTTTTTCTGCAAAGCAAAACCCAAGGCACCAGCTATGCACAGACTTTCTCCTACTTTAGTCACTCAGAGAATATCTGGGCCAAAAAAATCTACCCTCAGACCTGGAAGTGCAATAATCATTGGCCACTTTAATGTCAGTATCTGAGGAAAAATCTGATCCTCTTTTTTTTGGAGTGACACAGGGCTGCTTCTCTGTGCAGCAATTAAAGGCCCAGTCCAAATTCCTCATTGGATAGCTATGTGAACCTAAAACCAATCTGGACATTAATCTTAGGCCAACTTCTAGCAGCACTGACTCTCTCTGTGGAAAATATCTGATCACCCTAAAAAACCCAGAAAACTTCAGTGTAAAGCCTTCCCAAAGGTAGAAAACAACCCAGCCTCCCCATTTTCCTCTCTCCTACATATTCTCACATCAGACCTCCAACTTGGGTACAAAAGGGTTTCTGAAATGGCTATATCAAAGTCAGCAAAATGACTATCTCTTTTCTAATCAGTTAAGCATTTTTTTTTTATCCCAAGTAATGTTTTCTGTTTCATCAAGGCACTCTTACTCTCTTGCTCAAGGCCAGGTTGGACAGAGCCTTGGGTGACACGGTCTATTGTGAGGTGTCCCTGCTCATGGCAGGGGTTGGAACTGGATGATCTTAAGGTCCTTTCCAACCCTAACTATTCTATGATTCATCAAAGCCCAAGAAAATAGATTATAACATGCAATGCGCCCCACCAAAAAACAGGTTAAGACTAGGTCAGATTCACAAGAGAAAAGCAGTTTATGCTGTCAGATTTTACTCTTCTTAATAGCTGGACATATTAGGTCACTGACGTTGTCTGGTATGTAGAACTGAGGTATGACATGAAGAGGGTACCTTTGTGAGGATAGGCACATCCTCAGCTCTGCGAGCACTGCATTTCAAGCTTCTTAAAGCTGGTGGCGGTGTGCTGGTCATTAGTGCTTCTTTAGGAGAAGGAAGCATTAGACACATGAAGGAAGCAGTATGATCTGCCACAAACACGCAACTCTCAGGTGAGAACCAAGCTGTGCTGGCAGGTGGAATACTATGTGTGGATCTCCCAGAAAAAGAAACAGGAGAGAGAAACCCCCCCAGACATTACTAAAGCTCTTTTGCCTCTCTGAGCCTACCTCCCTCATCCCCTTCACCAGCACTGGTCGTTGCTTTTAAAAGAACACAGCAAAACATATTTTTTTTGTGTCATGCAGCATTTTCCTGGTCTTATTTTGTCAGCAAAATCATGAATTTTATGGGGCTTTCACATACACCTCTCACAGGGCTCACTGCTTATGAAGAGCTGCCAAGAAACATGCTTGGGCTTTTCTGTAGCCTTCCGCATGTCTCAGAAGGAAGCCAAAACAACAATAGAGCAATAAAGATGACTTTTACACATAGTTTAATAATCATCTTTCTTTTTTTTTTCCATTCTGTGCTGTCATGAGAGCTATTTATTTCATGACACATTAGACTTTTAAAACCAGGGTCCAACTTACACTATTTCTCCTTAATCAGTAAAAGAGAGATTGGATGCAGTGATCGTATTTGACTTAGTTATCTGTAAGTAAAGCTGCAGTTCTGAAAAGACAACCTAGACCACCACCACTTTGCAACCAATGAGTTCAATAGTTTTTCTCTTGTTTCACATGTCAG